CCCCGCTTGTTAATTTTCAGTTTCCCCCTCCCCGGCTCCTTATTCCATACCCCGCGTTTATTATTTTCCAAGCTTGCCACGACCGACGATCATGTGAAGTGGGTGGTTGGCGGGTGTTCTGGTGTGGTTTGCTTCTTCTTTCCTATCAAACATCTATCGTCCTTATCTCCCCTTCTTCTCTTTTATGTTTGTTACTCTCTTGTAATGCCTCTAATCTTCTGGCGCTCATTTGACCTTATGCAGTTGCGAGCGCCGTAAAACCTCTACTAAAAAAAAAAGAAAGATCATGTGAAACATAGAGAATCTAGATATCTGAATGAAACTTCTTTTTTTTTTTAATGGCAAATTACCCTCAGTATAGGTACCAGTACCGGGTTGGGTACCTCTATTTTCTGTGGGTTTAAAAAACTTTTTGTACATTGGTTTATATTTTCTTAATGAAACTGGTTTGTACCTAAATGGGGAAAAAAGTCACAGTAACTTGCTAAAATCACAAAAATTTGATGATCTCTTGTTGTTTTATTCAGTGAAGGAGAAATAAAAGAGATTTGTTCCTACTAGTACAGGGGTATGAGGTTGAATGAGCCCAGGGGAGTGCTTAAAGTTCAATTTATTCATCATTTATCTATTTATGTTAAATGAATTCTGTAGTTTCTTTTTTTTTTTTTTGTTTTCCAGATTCAAGTGTCCGTACTGCCCAGTGGAGATGTCTGTGACAGACACCAGGCAGATTTACTTTTGACGTCTTCACAAGGAGCAACTAAGGGACCTCATTTTTCTCTCTGTTTTTTTTTTCTTTTTTTTTCCTCACAGATCTTATGAATTAGAATGTGCTGGATCGGAAAAGTAAAGTAAAGTATGAATTAGAATTGTTTTTTACTTTCTTTGAGCATTTATTGAGAACTATTTTGGGTGCTCTTTCATCGATTGTGTGGGCAAGATTTGAAATTGGAACGTAATATAAAAAGTAGAGCTAAGTTATTGCGAGAGGGATTCTTGATGAATTCTGGGCGTAGTCTAACCTTCAGTTTACCCGTCTACTTTCATCACAATAAATTTTCATCCCGAATATTTTCTGACCTTGTAAAACAGACCTGGTGTGATACAGTGCCATTAATTTAATATGATGCAAGAGCGTTCGACAGTAGTTAAGGAGTTTCATTAAATACAGTTCTTACGAGTAGAATGGGTACTAAAGTGGAAAGGAACGGCGTCTTCTGTAAGATTCACGATTTATTGCTCTGTTTGCTATGCGGAGGTTGTGTATTATGGAGGGATTTCACTCACTCACTGAGAGAGTCTGATACGAAGTGTGCAAAAAAAAAAATGAAAATTGTGTATTATTTATTCCTTCCGGAATTCACTTGTAAATAAGGAAACGTTGAGATGTAGTTTCAGGGTATATTTTTTCCCCATTCTCATTTTGCTCCCTTGTTTGATCATCAAACCCATATCGTCTTTGTGTTGTGAGTTTCCGATTTGATACTTGATGATGACTAAAAGCTTAAAAATCTGTCTCTTTTGAATTTAAAAAAAAAGTCTCTTTGAATTAAAAAAGAAAAAAGGAGCACTGTTCATGTTTTATGGTCCCTTTTGTCACCGAGTGACTTAATTGATTGAGAACTTTATTAGACATGAATCCCCAAACAATTCTTTTTCTGACTATTGGGAACTTAATTTTCTACTTTGTGTAAGTGAATGTGTATTGATGTATGTTGATGCATGAATTTGTGAGAATCTAAATGTAGTTCTGCTCGAATGGCTATGGCTTCTGTCGGTACGGTGTACCTTGAAGTGGGGGATGGATGCTTCGTTTCAGAGGTGCCGCTTTTATGGATAAATGGGGGAAAAAATCTTGATTTTTGTGATAAAATGTGATAAAAGTGATTCGTGTTTCTTGTCTTGCTTCTTGTGAGTACCGGTACTGTTGGTGCTTTGACTGCCGCTCGATTTTGTAAGTGAAGGGAAAGGAGATATGTTTTATACTTCATCTTTGTGTGTTCAACGTTTCTTTTTGTCATATCTGCCAGTAAAAAAAAATTGAAATTGCACATTGATTGAAATATTGTTGATAGGTAATGTTATAGAGTTTGAACTTTGATTTTTGGCGATTAACTCTTTATCTCCGGCAAGCCGCTCCCAGCGGCTCGTGGTCGGAACCACTGTGTCGGTGAGTCGCTGACAGCGGCTCGGGCACTTTCTTTTACGACGACTTTGACATCAAATTACTTTTTGGCCATTGCCGAAAACAGATCTCTTATACCGGAAGTTCATTCATTAGATGAAGAACTATCAAAATAGGTTTGCTAGTTTCAATGTAATGACCCATTTAATGACGTTTTTGACATTTTTAGATTTAGCACTAAGAAAGAGGCCCGGCGTAGTGGGCTTACCCCCCTCGGAGATAAAGAGTTTAGGAAGTGTTTGTCGACGAAGGCTTGTGACTGTCTTGTTATGATGCAGAGACCTGAGAGACAGCACCTCTACTTCAACTTTCCCTGACAGCAGAATCTCCTAACAGCAGACGCTGTATGAATGTATTGGGGAGATTTATATGATTAATAGTATAATTATTAGTCTCCTATCAGCAGAAATAACAAATATGTGTGGGAGATGTATGTGATTGATACAATTATGTTCACAGTTTTAGACTTATAGATTGAAATGACTTTGGACTTACTGAGGGAAGTGACTTGAATATATTATATGGTCGCTTTTAAGCACAAGGGGGCTGAACCTAAGTGCTGTTTTGAGAAAATCGAAGGCAAAGTTTTTGCCCCTTGTTCGGTTTCTTTAAAAGTCAAAGAGAGTTTTCTCTGTAACAAAATAAATATACACACCAACGAAACCAAACTTCTCCTAAGGCAATGCCTACTTTTGGTTGTAGATCAAGATTTCTGGAAACCCACGAAATCTTGGTTAGCCCGCTTGTCCTGAACAGCGACCTCATATTCTTTTTGCAGTAATTTAATTTTGCTTGCCTTTGAGCTCAACAATTATTTCCTACATACAAAACGGATTTGAACTGTTGAACTTTGAACCCCATCCACCTCCACCTCCTCCTGCCTTTTGTTTCAGTTTTTTTATGTCTTGAAAGCTCATTTGTAAGATCCCAAATGTTGTAGCAGCGTTTAGGACTTCCTGAAACTCTCCAAAGTGTTGGATACTTTTGGTGAAGTGAATATCGATGATCGTTACACTGGCATGACGCCGTCTTTGGAATGAACAGACGCAGACCGGTGTGACTACATGTGTCATGACGTGGTGGAATCAGGCTGTCGTCAATCGTGCATGTGGAGTTTTTGGTATCATCTTAAAGCTTGTTCATTCATCTTGCTTTTGATGAAAAAAATACCCATCTATCTAGAGCAGAAATGAAGATAGTTGTGATTGAAAGAGGTAAGTTCACTTGATTTCAGCGGTAAAACTAGCAAGAAAACGGCCGCCAAAGTTTGGTAAGTTCAAGAGCTAACGAGTCCTTGAAAACTGAAAAGTTACATATTTTGAGCTTTTATTCAACGTTTTAAAAATAATTCACATGGAAATGTGTTTTTGTTTGGATATAAAAGGGTTGAACAAAAAACGAAAAATTTGATTAAGATTTCAAAGAGTTAAACAAAAAACAAAAAATTGGATTAAAATTGCAAAACTGATGGGAAAATGCCTGTTTCTCCAGTTTTGTTATTTTGACGAGCGCCTGATTTCACCACGATGTCTCCCATATGCTATATGCCAGCATTGCTCTTTTCAGTACTTTCAACCTGCTGGTGGCAGTTTCAACACCGTTTTGTTCAAGGCCATATCAGGAACAAGGAATGTACAAAAGTGCCTTGGCTTCCTCCAATACATAAATGTTAAATATAGGTACCGGTATTGAAATGCTTTATGACAGTTGTTTTGTTAATTTTTTTTTTCAACAGGTGAGAAGATTGTGTTGTAAAAAATGGGGTGGGTTTTTTTTTTTGGGGGGGGGGAGGGGTGTCAGAATTTCTTTTGTCTTTATGCTTCTTTCATGTTCTGTCAAATAATGTGATAGAAATGATTTTTAAAAAAAATCTTCTCAGTTGCTGTCAAGTGATTTTCCAACATTTATGTTCAGGAATACTTTTCATGTGACACATTGTATGTACTTTTGGAGGTCTTCCTATTTTCTTTTCTTAAGTTTGTGGCTTGATTCAGATGATCGTTTAACTGGCATGGCATATATAATGAGGCGCCCTCCCTCCCTCCCTCCCATCCCCCTATCTTTTTTCCTTTAACTTAATTGGCCAGCTTTTCACATGTGCAAGGCCCAAAATTTTGAAAATAAAGAGAAAAAAATATGCACTTTTTAAAATCTGTGGTGTCCGTTGCACGTGCTCATGAAATGTTTTGTGGAAATACGAATTCTAAATCTGTCCCCATCGTTTTATGCAAGAAAAATTCTGAAATTATGCAAACTGAGCCAAAAAATGTGAAATTAGGCGATTTTGTTAATTTTTGACTAAGAATGATAAAGGAAAATAATCAGGAATTATGCACAAAATGATCAAATTTTGCAGGGTGCATAAGACCACGGGGACAGCTAAATGTTGGGGGGAAAAATGCCTGAAAAGTTGAACGATGTAGGTACAATTGTTAAAAGAATTGAAGCAGTTTATTGTTGTCTCTCTTGTGAAAAGTTTTTCAATTCTTGGCTGAGTAGAACAGTTGAACAGCTTGCCAACGTTCTATTTTTTTAATACCTCTGGTTTGTTCAGTAAGTATCGCACCCTTTCTCTATCCCCCCCAGCAATAACAAGGTACTGGCAATGAATGACATAGCATTTGTGCTAGTACCAATAGTACCATACATGTCACTTTTGCTAAGCTCGTCTGAATTTCCCAAGGAAGAGGCAACTAACATGTTTGAGACTTTTCATTGGTGAAGGGAATAATGTGTGACAATAAATAACACGTTACAAATTAATAGTTGTAAAGCACACATAAAACATGCTTTAGAGCATGGATACGTGCTATATATATAAATACAATTATTATACATTTTTTCTGCTGTATTATTATTGTCATCATGAAATGTTCAGCTTTATTGTCTTGCTCTTGTTTGCAGCTTACTTTTGATAGTACGAAATTCTGTGTGCCTGCAGAGAAAATTCATTCCAGTTTTGTGGTGATTGATTGGGCTGTGAATGGTGTTTATTTCTTTGTCTTGTCAGCCTCTAGAAGACATGGAAAGTTTAACAGTGAGTAACAGACTCTTTGTGTGATTGCTATTGGGCCCTGTGGTATGGCTGTTAGCCCTCCGAGTGTTGCTCACAAATGTTCGCTTTTGAAGACAAGCGGGCTAACCCAGATTTTGGGGGTTTCCAGAAATCGTGACCCTCACCAAAAATGGGCATTGCCCTACCTATAGGAGAAGTTTGGTTTCATCAGTATGTATATTTTTTTGATTATAGATAGAAAACTCTCCTTGTCTTTTAAAGAAACTGAACAAGGGGCAAAAACTTAACCTTCGGTTTTCTCGAAACAACATCTTTCAGGACAGCCCCCTTGTGCTTAAAAGCGACCAGATAGCCTGTTAGGCCATAAACCTATGCATTTTCAGAAAGTAGAATGCAAATAGAAAAAAAGGGCTAATTTGATAAAGATTTGATATATTTGGCGATATTAAGAAACAGGACAAACAACCAAAAATAGTATCTCAAATTATAACGATGGAAAAAAATCGCCCGGGACACCACAGAAAGAAACTGACAGCTGATTTAATTGGCCGCTGACACTTGGAGGGTTAATTTGTTCTCCCCCCCAGCCCTTCTTCCCCCTTGAGTGATTGCTAGTCTTGATATAATATGTATGTAATCTTTATTTGACTTTGTAAAGAAACCCCACACCCACCTTTTGTACATAGATGTTTTGTAATGACGCCAGTGCCTGCTGATGAGAATAAACTACACACGGAATAAATAAGCATCATTTTTCTCTGTGTGTGTGCTTTTAAAAATAATGTTAAGGTACAACCCGCGTTACATGTATTATGTATTTTTATTATGTGTATATTTATCCTGTTATTGAGTGGAAAAAAAACATTGAATGAAGATGAAAAAGAGGAGGGTGTTCTTCTTTTGTATTTTTAAAGATAAAAACATTGTCCTGAAGTTGAAACTTTGGAAGTTTTTTTGTTGTTGTCTTTTGTCTTCGAGGATGAATTATTGGAATGGTACATGATGGTCTTCTATCGATGTTTGTCCTTGAACAATGGGACCTGTGTGCTCTCCGCTAGCGTAAGGCTGGCTGTGGGTGGTTGGCGGGTGCTCTGGTGTGGTTTGCTACTTCTTTCCCCCAAAAAAATATGTCGTCTCTTTCTCCCCTTCTTCTTTTTTTATGTTTGTTACTCTCTTGTAATGCCTCTAATCTTCGGCACATGACCTTATTGTGTTGCGAGTGCTGTAAAACTCTTACTAAAACTAAGGCAGGTTGCTGAGTGTGCATGTTTTGACCATGAGTCATTCAGTCTTTGCCCTCAATGGAATTTACAAATTATTGGATTTTTTATTGCTTTCGTGTAATACATAGTAATT